TGTTGAGAGATCCACTGTTAGTCTGATGGGCTTCCCTTTGTAGATTACATGGTGTTTCTCTCTGGCTGCCCTTAACAGTTTTCCTTCATTTCAACCTTGGAGAATCTGATAATTATGTGTGTTGTGGCTGATCTTGCTGTGGAATATCTTAATGATATTCTCTGTATTTCCTGAATTTGCATGTTGACCTGTCTTGGTAGGTTGGGGACATTCTCATGGATAATATCCCGAAGTGTGTTTTCCAGTTTGTTTCCATTTTCCCATCTCTTTCTCATACTGAGATCAACCATAGGTTTGTTCTTTTCACATAGATACACATTTCCTAGAGGCTTTGTTTGTTCCTTTTTATTGTTTTTTTCTCTATTCTTGTCTGCATGTCTTATTTCAGTAAGGTGGTCTTCAAACTCTGATATCTTTTCTTCCACTCCGTTGATTCAGCTGCTGCTACATGTGTATGCTTCACGCAGGTCTTGTGCTGCGTTTTTCAGCTCCATCAGGTCATTTATGTTCCTCTTTAAACTGATTTTCTAGTTAGCATTCCCTCTAACCTTTTATCAAAGTTCTTAGCTTCTTTGCCTTGAGTTAGAACATTCCCCTTTAGCTCATCATAGTATTTTATTATCCGTTTTCTGAAGCCTACTTCTGTCAATTCATCCATCTGATTCTCCTCCAGTTCTGTGCCCTTGATAGAAAGATGTTGCAGTCATTTGGAGGAGAAGAGGCACTCTGGCCTTTTGGGTTTTTAGCACTTTTTTCATTGATTCTTACTCATCTTGGTGAGTTTGTCTAGTTTTGATCTTTGAGGCTGCTTATCCTTGAATGGGCTTTTTGTGAGGGACTTTTTTGTTGCTGTCGATGCCACTGTTGTCACTTTCTGTTTGTTTATTTTTCTTTCAATAGTCAAGTCCCTCTTTTGTAGGGCTGCTGCAGTTTTCTGGGGGTTGGCTTCAGGCCCTATTCATCTAATTAGCTCCTGTGCCCAGAGATGTTACTCTAAGAGACTGGAACACAGCAAAGATAGGTGCCTGCTCCTTCTTCTGGGACCTCTAACCTCAAGGGGTACCAACCTGATGCCAGTATGGTTGCTCAGGGTGTCTGACAACCCCTGGTGGAGGGTCTCACCCAGTTGGGTAGCACAGGGAGCAGGACACATTTAACAAAGCACTTTGTCCCTTGGTGGAAACTTGTGCTTCACTGGGGGGAAACCCACTCATCTGGGCTGCCTGGATTCCTCAGAACTACCAGGAGGAGAGGCTAAGTCTGCTGGTCTGCAGAGACTGTGGCCACCCCTCCCACTAGGGGCTCAGGCCCAGGGAGATCCGGGTTCTGTCCTTGAGCCTCTGCTGGAGTTATTGGAGATCTTGCACAGAAGCCCCACCCAATGAGGAAGGATGGTCAGAGTTAGGCCTGTAGGGGCACGCTGGCTGCAGACTGCCACAGCTGTGTGTTGGGCTGTGGCAGTCTGCAGCCAGTGTGCCCCTACACGCTGGGGACAAGTCTTGGGACCAAGCTCTCCAGCCTTCCTGGCTCCAGCAGGAGAAAAGAGCACCCTAGAGCTATAGCAATGGCTAATGTCCTTCCCTGGCCCAGGGATCTCAGCGTGTTAGGCAGTTGCGAGTGCTAGTGCTGGCTGTTGCGCCTCCCCTAAGGAGCTCAAAGGGCTTAGACAGCAAGCAGCCAGCAGTGGATGCTGGTCGCCCCTTCCCCAGGCAGTTTGGTAGGCTTAAGCAGATTCCAGCTGAGAGGCAGTAAGAATCTGTGTGTTCTGGGGTCGAGACACTAGGCCCCAGTGGCATGGGTTCACAGGTGGGATCTTCTGATCTGTGGGTTGCACAGTTCCATAGAAAAAGCAGTTTCCCCAGCTGGGTAGCACACTCATTCACTGCCTCCCTTAGCTGGGGAGAGGGAGTTCCCTTCCTTGTGTGGCTCTCAGGTGGGCAGCCATAACACACTGTCCTTCCTTCTCTCCATGGGTCACAACAGCCTTCTAGTCAGTTTTGGTGAGAAAATCTGGATATCTTGGTTGCTGGTGAAGGATTCACAGGCTTATTATGGTTTTTTTCATTATTTATCATTATTATTATTACTGAGGTGGAGTTTCACTCTTGCAGCTGGATGGGAGCCTCCAAACCTGCTGCTTCCACTAGGTCATCTTGGCCCCACCCCCTCTTCTTCTTCCTGTTAACTTCCCCGGAAGGAGGCAGGTTTTTCTCCTGTGGTGGCTGCTCATTCTGTATGGAAAACCAAAAGAAAACAAAACGTCTTTGCTCTACCACTGCCAACACAGTGTTGTCTATGCAAATAGAACTGCTTATCTCAACTCAATTTGATGAATATCTAGGGTAAAAATAATCTTTCTACTATCCCTCTTCATGGGCAGAACCTTTGAGGCATCATTAGGCTGAATTACATGCCAGAACTTATGCAAGCTGGGCTGTCAGGGTACCAGCAGGGAGCTCCTGGTGTAGCTTGAGAGCCATGTGGTGAGGGCTTGGCAGCTTGGACTAAATCTGCCTCCCTTGAGTCTTGAAAACATGGTGAGATGACCAGTGGGCCTCCTGTGTTTAACTGTTTCTCTTGACTTTTGTATGTTTACGTGCTTGGGAGCTGGAATCAGACTCTCTGCTACTGAAGCCTGATTCAGCTGCTTACTGCTTGGGAGCCTGAGCACATTCCTTAACTTCCTTGTCTGTTTTCTCATCATGTAAAACTAGGAAAACACAAGTATCTATCTCACCATGAAGAGAATTCAAAGGATGTAATGCCTGAAAGTGTTTCTTACAGACGCCTACGTGTTATGTGTAATTACTTTCCTTGAACATATTCTTATCCTGGAGTCTGGTAACAGAGGTATAAATGATGAAGAACAGAATCCATTCAAAACTGTAGCTGAGGCTACAGGAGGCTTAGCTCAGAGTTACTCCCCGTTTAAGCACTGCTCAACCTCATCAGAGGTGGCAAAAGCCTGGACACATTATTTCCCATTGTTATTTTTAATCTATTTTTTATTTATTTAATCTTTAATTTTGGGGGGTACACAGTAGGTGTATATATTGATGGGGTACCTGAGATGTATTGATACAGGCATGCAATGTGTAATAATCACATCATGGAGAATGGGGTAGCCATCCCCTTAAGCATTTATCCTTTGTGTTATAAGCCATCCAATTACACTCTTTTAATTATTTTACTGGGAACTTCTTAATCTTGGGGCAAATACTAAAATTGTTAGCAGAGCCTACAGGTTCCTGCATTGAGAAGAAGCCTACATGTGCAAGTATCGTGGAGCCAGGAGGTGAGTAGCTCATCATACCCAGCAACCCCTAGCTGCCCTTGGACAGACTGACTTCCAGGGTCTGGGTACAGCACTGACCTGGGTCTGGCCTGGCCTTGCTTGGTTTGGGACCCTGCTTTGTCATGTCTGACATCTGCTCTCAAAAAAGAGCCTGGCTGTGTCATCCTAGCTCCAGGTATGACCCAGGCTGCTCTTAGATCCATTGCTAATGGAAACTTTACCTAATGCCTGATCCCCATTTCCTGTTTTGGTTCCTTAACTGTAACTCACTGTCCGCATCCCAGCTGCTAGACATGGGTTCTGCTTATCTGGAAAGCTCAGAATAGTGGGCTCTGTGAGAGGATAGGGCTGGGGTGATCATCTGTACACCATGTGCTAGGTGCTTTATGTAGAAATTGGCTATTTCAACCCTTAACATTCTCTGTATAGCATCACCCCCAAATTACAAAGAAGAAAACAGCTGTACCAGTGGGTAAGTAGGTTAGCTAGTGAGGGGCAGGACAGGGATTCCAGCCTAGTTGTGGGTACTTGTCAAGCCAATGTTTGTTCCAGTGCACAGCCTTGAAGCAACACCGAGAGGAAAATTGGCTAGGAATCTAGACCTCAGCCTGGCTTCCTCTCCCTACTTCCCATCATGTTTCCCAAATTCCTTAGAAAGCCTGCTCTGTGAGGCCGGCTACAGTGGCTGACACCTGTAATCCCAGTACTTTGGGAGGCCAAGGCAGGCAGATCACTTGAGGTCAGGAGTTCAAGAACAGCCTGGCTAGCATGCTGAAACCCCATCTCTACTAAAAATACAAAATTAGCTGGGCATAGTGGCGGGCGCCTGTAATTCCTGCTCCTTGAGAGGCTGAGGCAGGAGAATCACTTGAACCTGGGAAGTGGAGGTTGCAGTTGAGTGGAAATCATGCTCCTGCACTCCAGCCTGGGCAACAGAGTGAAATTCTATCTCAAAAAACAAGATTACTCTATGAAGAGTTAACTATTGTGAAGATCTCACCTTCACTGGACAAGACCTTTGGCACTGCTCAGAGGATTTGTTATAGTGCTGGAGGCTGTGGGTGGCCTCTCCTCAGACCTAATGTCAATAGGTACACAGGATTAAAGCACACAATGAATGGGGTCAGGGCTGTGTTCTCATTCTAGCTAGCAATATTACAAAATGTTGTTCTGATATTTATGCTGGCTCGGAAAGTTCCACCCACTTCTCAGTAAACTCACCCTAGGAATCTGCTGTCCAACAGTGGTCAATTCCACAATCTTTATGGGGAGAAGGTAAACGCAGCCTGGTTGCAGGGCTAGGCACCAGGGGCTGGGGAGAGGCGGATGGAGTCCCAAAAGAGGTTTGCCTGCTTGTCTCCCAGACCACCGCCCTAGGGAATCTGTTCCAGCAGTATAGCTCATGCATCTCGGCCCAGATTCCTAACATCTGTCCAGCTGTGTGGTCGCCAGGGCCTCCAGCTGCCAGTCAGATGGGAACTTGAAAGCGACGTGACCTTTAGATAAATAAAGCAAGAACTGAGAAAAAAAAAAAAAAAAAGCTGAGGTAACAGCAAACATTGGGCAAATATTTGCCAGAGAAACTGCGTTTGAACTTTCCCCTGTGGTGTAGGTCCAGGTTTGCTAGCACAGCCTGACCTTGGCAACCTTGCCCTCGACTTGTTGTTTTGACACAATTCGTTTTAGCGCATATGTTTTCCACAGGCTCCATTTGTGTCAATAAGTGATCTCATGACCTCAGAGCGTTCTCTTTGGGTCTCCTCTGCAGGAAGCCCAGCATGGCTCCAGGACAGGTGGGTAATCTTTTTTCTGGATGGAGCACACCTAGATACTTTAGTTCTAGTACTGATGTCTTAGAAAGGTATAAAAAACTGAAGAAGCAGTTAAGAACATTTGGAACCAGGTGGCTCAGATGGAATGAAATGAATGAGTTAACCTAAAAAGCAACCCATCTCCTAGCTCACTACTTCTTGGTCCATGCACTGTGGCTTTTCTATGGCTGATAGAAAGTAAACTGATTCTCAGAAGATGTGGGTCTGTTATCAAGACTATCAATAAGAAGATGGAGGAGGAGGTGGGAAGAAAAAGAAGGAGGAAGAAGGATGAAGAGAGAAGGAGATGGAAAAAGGAAGGAAATGAAGAGGAAAGAGAAGGAGGCATGGGGAGTGGGATGCAGGGAGAAAGGGAGGAAGAGAAGAAGAAGGTGGCAGAGATGTAGGAGGGGGAGAAGAGAACTGGTATCTACAGACTGCCCACTGTGCCAACTATTTTGCGTGAATTATCTTATTCAATCATGAAAACAATCCTTTAAGTTAGCCACTAGTACTTCTCCATTTTTCAGATGAGAACCTCATGCCTAAAGAAGGTTGACAAGTTCCCCCAGGTCACAAATCCAGGAGTGACAGGGCTGGAACTGCACCAGGCAGGATGGTGTGACCCCCACAGCCCCACCCCCATCTTGTGTTTGCTCTTGAGGCCTGTGTCTATACAGGATACCACTGCTGGGGAAAGGGAGGTTTCATCAGCCAGTGGTGATGCATTAATTTTGGACAAATGCCCAGTTATTGTCAGACAGAATACCTTTAACTTCTAGCCTATACTGAAGAAAAGAAGGCTTAGTGCCCAGAACACTCAGCTAACACGATTTTCATTCATATAGGATTTTTTTTTTTTTGAGAGAGAGAGTAAACTTCCAAGAGAGTCCATAAGGCTAATGACATTAAATCAGATCTTTTGCACTTTCGGAATTATCAGACCCAGTGCCAAAGAATTGGAAATTAAATTTGGAATCATTTCCCCAAAGCCCCATCAAATAGTGTAGTCATCAGAATAACCTGGGAAGTCTGAACCCTGAATCGGAATTCTCATGGTTACTGGTCCTGGTTCTGGCAGTCATTGGCCAGGCAGTCTTGGAGGGGCCCCTTAATATCATTCAGTCCCCTCATCTCTATGGTAGGGGTTTAGGCTCCTTGTATCCTGAAGAGAAGATAAGCTCATTTTAATACATGTTGAAACCAAAGGGGTGGTCACATCACCACCCCGAGTCTGCAGCTGATTTGGGAAAGTGAAGGAAAGAGACAGTCAGGGTGCTCCTGGGGCATCCGGAGGGACCCTCCTGGTGTGGGAGTAAACAGCATATGTGCAGAGTCAGTTATGTTTCACCTGGAATCCAAGAAATGAGTGAAAGATGAACACAGAGCAGTCTAGACAGAGGAAACAGCAGGAGTGAGGCCTGGAGGCAGGAGGGAAGCTGCCATGTAGTTGATCATTGGACTGGGCTTGTTGAGAATTATACCATGACCTCAGGCACAAGCTGGGACCCTGCCAGCCAAGCCAGGTGAATGTCATCCTCAAAGCAGGCTGTGTTAATATGCTTGGTTTTCATCCTTAAAGAGATTAGGGGTCCCTAACAGGCTTCTTTTATTTATTTCTTTTTTCACAGGTTGTATACATTTATAAATGTCTTATTTGTACTTTTTGACATATCATTCACATATGGTAAAGTGCACAGATGTGAAGTTCACACCCTGGTGTGTGTCTACCTGTTTATACACCCAGGTAACTGTCACCAGATCAGGACTTGGGCATTTCCAGTTGTGCAGAAGGCTCCCTTCTTCCCCTCAGTCCTGCCCTGCCCACCCCAGGGGAGGCACTTTCCTGACTCTACTGAACTTCTAATGCTAGACTCTAGTGCCAGAGAGGGGTTGATATGATTTTATCCTGACTCGACTGAACTTTTAATGCTGGACTCTAGTGCTGGGGGTTGGGGGGGTGGTTGCTGTGATCCATTTGATTTCAATTTGGAAAGATAGTGCCCTGCTGTCTACTGCATGAAGAATGAATGGGAGGGGCCCCCGCTTGCAGCTGGAAGATGAGATGAAGGCTGTTCAGTCCTCAGAACAGAAGAGACAGGGGCCTGAATGGGGAAAGGATGGGAAATAGTGGCAGATGATGGTTAAATCAACCAGACCTGGTGGCTGTGTATGGGGGTTCAGGATGGAAGAACCAGTGCTGGTCCCTGGGTTGCTGTCTTGGTACCTCAGGGGCAGAGAAGCTGTGCATTAAGCCAAGGAACCTGGAGAGGGAAACACAGAGGAGGATGGGAGTAACTTGGGGCATGGGACTTGTTGAGTTTGAGATGCTTGGAACTGCCCAATGGAGGGGCTGCAGAGGTGGATGGATTGAGAGGCTGGCTGAGCAATGGGCACATCCATAATCCTGGGGAAACAGACAGAGCTGTGTTCATGCGACAATTGCCCAGGGACAAGGAAATCAGTAAGAAAGCAGCTGGAACTCAACAGTCATGATCTTATAAAGACATTTCAGTTAGTGATGGACCAAACATACAATGGTGGTCCGGTAAGATTGTGATACTGTGTTTTTACTGTATCTTTTCTACATTTAGCTGTTTAGATACACAGATGCCATTGTGTTACAATTGCCTGCAGTGTCAGTGTCATCCTATGCTGCACAGGTTTGCAGCCTGGGAGCTATAGTCTATGCCATACAGCCTGAGTGTGTAGTAACCACACCATCTAGGATTGTTTCAGTCACTCTATGATATTTGCACAACAAGTCACCTATGACACATTTCTCATTTCTCATGTGTTCCCACCATTAAGTGATGCATGACTGTAATGATCAGCTGGGTAAAGAGAAGTGCACCCATGAAGAAACTAAGAGGGACCCCCAGAGAAACGTGAGGATGTCCAGGAGAATATGGAACTGCAGAGTCGAGGGGAGGGAGTGCTTCCCAAAGGCTGAGGGCACGAGTAGTCTTTACCGCAGCTGTGAATCTGGTTAAGCAGCTGTGAGGACCCAGTTCCCTTTTCCTGCATCCTTTCTCCTGAGTTCCGACCAGCAGGCTCTCAGTGAGAAACTTTGAATTATGTAATTGGTGTAGGACTGAAAGCATCGGTAAGAGGCTCTGTGAGATTCAAACTTACTGCTTTATGTATGATCTTAAGACTCAGCCCCTGGGAACTGGATGCATCCGTGGTCTTCCTTCAGCCTCAGGCAGGGTCTCTGAAGGCAGGCAGTCATTCCTCTTAGAGGCTTTGGGGACCCAGGCCCTTGTTCTCCCTTCCCTTCTGGTATTCCCTGAGATCATCAGCCTTGACTTCCTGAGTGGCCGGGGTCACTTTCCTTTTAGAAAAATTGGATAAATAGAACAATACAAAACAAGAGACAAAAACCCTGTGAGATCATCAGGTACAATTATAGTTTTGATTATTCATTGACCATCTGTTTTGGGTGGGGCACTTCATATGCTTTATTCTATTCTTAATATGAGTGAGGGATCCCCACTTTTCAGATGTTGAAGTTGAGGTCATGGTGCTAATGAGTGGTGTCCAAATACACATGAGGCTCACTGTACACTGGGCCCACCATTCCACCCCACCATACTAAGTCTCAAGAATGTGTATTCTCTGTTGAAAAATCAAACCCTGGCTCCTGACTGACACATGGAGCCACTAGGGTGAACCATGTTGATTTATTTCCTTAAGCGTTTACCAAGCCCCTTCTATACCAGGCATGCTACATAATCAGCACTGGGGAGACAGAGGGAAAGTCCTGAGCAGATGAACTTCCGGCAGAAAGAGAGAAGGTGGCGGTGGGGGGGGCGGGGGGGAGGAAGATGGGGGTCGGCGGGGGGAGAGAGAGAGAGAGAGAGAGAGAGGGACAACATGCTAGTGGGCAAATAAAGTCATTTTAGAACATGCTCAGGGCTCTGAAAGGAATAAGAGGTGATTGAAAGTGATCATATGAAGGGGCAATTAATGTTGGGCTGTCAGAAAAGGTCTCCAGGAGCTCAAGTTCCAGGGACCCACCCAGATGCTCCTGCCGGGTTGGAGATTCCTCCAGGCTGTGCAGGTTGCCTCGAAGGCCACGTTCTGACCCTGTGGGCCGGCAGGTGTGTTACTTGCTAGCCAAGACCTGGAGTTCTATCATCAGTAAGGTTTGCCATAGGGACTAAGCAATTTTCATTTCTAAGGCAAGATAAATCTGCAGCAGTAAAAACTGGCCGGTGATAAAGATTTGGTGAACATAGAATATACCAGGTGGAATGTGTTGACTTAAAGACTCCTCAGCTTTCCAAGTCAAGAAAACCTTCAACAACATCTTAAAGCCAAGGCACTGCCTAGGAGAAGGCATGACAATTTAATTTAAAAGATAGTCTTGAAGGCTAAAGAGACCCAGTGACAATGTAGTGCCTCTTAAGCAGAGCTGGTGCCCTAGGAGAGAATCCCTGTGACAAAGGTTCACATGCCTGTGCCAGAGCTGGGGTGGAGTCAGGTGGGTGCCTCCCCTGTGGATGAGTCTCCTGGCCATTCAAAACTCTGGAGAGATCTATCATTTCCTTAGGACTGGAGTCCTCCCAGAGGACTCTGCCCAAGGTCAGCTGTGTGGATATGAGGGGCACTGGCCAGGTGGAAATGTAGACTCACCCAAAGCAAGACTTCTTCATCCTTCTCAGGGACTGGAGCCTGGAGAAGCCACCCCTTCGGTGCAAGAGAGTTCTGTTCTCTCCTCAGATAGCATGCTCCTGCCCTGGCACAAATGGGGAGGTGCTGACTAGGAAGCTCCTGCTCAGGGTTAAGCCCATTTCTGTTAGAGGAGGCCAGCAGGAGTGACCAGGCACTCAGTGCCATGGGAGGACGTGGCAAGGTCACTGCCCTTGCTTCCCTCCTGGACTGGCATTTTTCCTGGAAGAAGGACAGCTGAGAGTAGTGGTAGTGGCCCTTGGAAACTGCTCCTCCATCTGCTTTCCTGGGGACTGTGCCCACCTTCT